CCACATGAGTCTCAAGGATCAAACTCAAGTCAGTAGCCTTACTGACAGTGCCTTTACCCAATGAACCATCTTGATGGCCCCACCTTGTTTTTTTTTGAAGGATTTATTTGGGGGCTGGAGAGATGTCTCAGTGGTTAAGAGCACTAGCTGCTCTTGCAGAGGACCTGGGTTCAATTCCCAGCACCCAGATGATGGCGAACAACCATCATAACTCCAGTTCCAGGGGATCTGATGCCCTCTTCTGACCTCCTCGGGCATTGCACAGCACAGGTGTACTTACATATATGCAGGCAATACACTCATACACATAAATTTATTTTTTTTTAAAGATTTATTCAGGGTGTGTGTGTGCGTGTGTGTATGTATACAAAAATGTGCAAGTACCCACAGAGGCCAGAACAGGCATGGGAGCCCCAGGTACTGGAGATACAGGTAGTTGTGAGCCATCTGATATGGGTGCTAGGAACTGAATTCCCATCCTCTGAAAGATCAACAAGCTCTCTCAACGGCTAAGCCATCTCTCCAGTCCCCTAACTGTACTTCATTTTTTAATGCAGGGTCTCTCACTGGAACCTGGGGTTGGATGATTAGGCTAGGTTGGCTGCCAGCCAGCCCCAGGGATCCTCCTGTCTCCTCCTCCTCAGCCTAGGAGTTACAAGTGTGAGCCACCATGCTGGTTTCTTTTAATGTGGGTGCTGGGATTGAATTCAGATCCTAGTTTTTACAGGGCAAACACTTCACAGACTAAACTATTTCCTAGCCACATAAGGTTGTTTTAAATATTATTCCAATAAATAATAAATGTAAAAAGGGAAAATTCACAAAATAATCATTTAATGGAAGAAAATATGAAAAACCAGAAAATCCTCATTACTCAAAGATTTTCTTTATTGTATCTGTGAAACATCATATAGCATTTAACTTTAGAAATAAATATTTCCTAAAGAAACTTTGGGAAGCTGGGGCTGGAGAGATGGCTCAGTGGTTAAGAGCACTGACTGCTCTTGCAGAGGACCTGAGTTCGATTCCCGGCATACACACAGTGGCTACCAACCATCCTAACTCCAGTTCCAGAGGATCCAATGCCCTCTTCTGACCTCTGTGGGCACTGAATGATACAGGTGCACTTATACATATGCAGGCAATACACTCATACACATAATATTTTTTTAATAAATATCTTAGTATTTAATAAATATTTTTTTAAAAAAGAAACTGGGAAGCTAAATAAAATACAGCTATTGTTAGATTTCAGAGTGCAGAGTACAGGAACAACAGGAAAGAAAGAGACCAAAACTGACCTCAACAAACGAGACTGTGTTTATTAGAACAGCAAGAGGCAACAACCTTCCCAAAGTATGGAGGCTATGCCGCAAAGAGGGAGGGGAATGGTCAGAGGGGCTACGTGCAGGTCAGAGCATTCTTGAAAAATTTATAAGCCCCTCTTTCCTGGACCTGTTTGCCCAAGCAAGACAAGCTATCTTAGGAAACAGGCTGTCTCAACAGAGTCCTCCATGAGTTCCAGGTGTGGCTGATCGATAGCGGTTGAGCAAGGCCAGCAGCAGTCTCAGAGGACTTCTGGTTTTCTGCAGCTGGGGCATTCTATCAGCTATAGTTGTCAGAATCATCACCACTTCAGATTCTTCTGCCCCTACCTCCTGAGTGCTGGAATTACAAGTGTGCCACCATACCAGGTTTTGTGTGTCATTGGGGATCAAACCCAGGGCTTTGTGCATGTTAGGCAAGCATTCTACCAACTGAGTACTCTTTTTGAAAAAAAATATATATATTTTTATCTCTGTGTGTGTGTGTGTGTGTGTGTGTGTGTATCTTTCACCAAGCAATCCTGTTCTAGCTGTTTCTCCATTGCTGTGACAAAACATCCTGACCAATACCACTTGGGGAGGAAAGGATTTATTAGGCTTACATCTCCCAGGTCACAGCTCATCAGGAAGTCCAAGGTAGGAACTCAGGGCAGGAACCTGGAGGCAGGAGTTGAAACACAGGCAATGGAGGAACACTGCTTACTGGCTTACTCCCCTGGCCCAAGCTCAACCTGCTTTCTTATTCAACATAGGCCCACCTGCCCAGGGATGGCACCACCCACAGTGGGCTGGGTTCTCCTATATCACTCAACAATCAAAAAGACTCCCCCACAGACAGGGCCACAGGCTGGTTCAATGGAGGCAATTCCCCAACTGAGGCTCCCTCAACCCAGGTGTGTCAAGTTGACACTAAAGCTATCCAGCATAAGTCCTTAAGCTTGGTGAAGAGACATTTGACATCATTAAAAACTGCACTTAAATATACTATAAGACTATCACTTAATGGCTTGAAAAAAAATCAGAAGTTTGATCTATGTTGTTGGCAAGACTGTGGGGAAACAAGCATTCTCTGTTACTGGTGGCAGAATAAATTGATAAGGTCCCTATGAAAGACTATTTGGCAATGTCTATCTATATTACAAATGCATATGCTCTTGACATACTAACTTCACTGTGTGGAATTTATTCTTATAGACATATGTGCAAAGGAACAAAGTTGTAGATTACTCATTGAGGCATCTTTAGTAATAGCAAAAGGCCCAAAAGAACTCTATCAACATGGAATCAGTTAAATAAATTATCTGAATTATCACGTAGCTAAAAATAAGCTTACAAAAAAAGAAATCGTAAACCAGGGGTGGTGGTGTACACCTATAATCCCAGCACTTGAGAGGTAGAGGCAAGAGGATCAGGAATTCAAGGCCAGCCTCAGCTATATAATGAGTTTGAGACTAGCCTGGACTGACTATATATAATAACATAACATATCCTAACATATATAATAAACTCTGGAAGGATGCACAAAAGATCAGTAATTGCTGATACCTCTCAGGGGTTGAGGGTGACTTAGGAACATACCAGACTGCAAAAAAATTTTAAAGGGTGGGATGAGATTTTTTGTGACAAACTTCTTTACATTAAAAAAATAATTTTGGCACTGGGCATGGTAGCACATGCCTTTAATCCCAGCACTTGGGAGGCAGAGGAAGGCGGATCTCTGTGAGTTCAAGGCCAGCCTGGTCTACATAGTGAGTTCCAGGACAGCTGGGGCTACAGGGAGACCCTGTCTCAAAAAGACCAAAAAAATAAAATAAAAATTTTTTGAGGGGCTGGAAAGATGGCTCAGCAGTTAAGAGCACTGACTGCTCTTGCAGAAGCCTGGGTTCAATTCCCAGCATCCATATGGCTGCTAAGAATCATCCTTAACTCCAGTTCCAGGGGAATCCAATGCCCTCTTCTGACCTCTGTGGCATTGCAATGACACAGGTGCACTTACACACTTGCAGGCAATATACTCATACACAGAAAATAAAAATAATAAATAAAATACTTAAAAAAATAATTTTGAGGCCAGGCATGGTGATGAATACCTTTAATCCCAGCACTTGGGAAGCTGAGACAGGTGATCTCTGAGTTTGAGGCCAGACTGGTCTACATAGGGATTTTTAAGCTGGGCAGTGCTACCTAATGATACCCTGTCTGGAAAAAAATAATAAGTGCTGGGCGTGGTGGCGCACGCCTTTACCCCAGCACTTGGAAGGCAAAGGCAGGCAAATCTCTGTGAGTTCAAGGCCATCCTGGTCTACTAGTGAGTTCCAGCTCAGCTGGGGCTACGGGGAGACCCTGTCTCAAAAAAGACCCAAAACAAAAAAAAAGTATATATAAATTATATATATATAATATTTATATTTATTTTTATATATATAAATATTTACTGATAAGTGAAAGAAACCCATCTGAAGAGTTTATATACCATATGACTCCAATATATGATATTCTGAAAGGGACAAAACTTTAAAGGTAATAAAAAAGATCACTGGTAGAATGGGATAAGGCAGAATCAGGAATAACCAGGTGAAGTTCAGAGGATTTTTAGGACAGTGAGATTATTTTATACCTTGATAATGAATATATGAGATTATGAATTTGTCAAAGTCCATAAAACTGTACAATACAAACATTAAACCCAAATGTAAACTATAAGCTTTTGTTCATCATAATGCAACAAATGTACTATAGTAAGACACTAAATAGAAGATATAGAGGGTAAAAGGGAGCTCTTAACTATCTGTTCAACTTTCTGTAAGCTTAAAATTCCTCTAAAAATTTGAGCCTATGAGGTAGTTGTTTGTTTGTTTGTTTGTTTAGACAGCGTCTCTTGGTAGTCCCAGCTGGCCTGGAACTTGCTATATAGACCAGGCTGGCCTTGATCTCACTGAGATCCTCCTGCCTCTGCTACCCAAATGCTCAAGTGCTAGGATTAAAGGAGTTCACCACCACACCTAGCTAAGCCTATGAATTTTTAAATGCATATGTGTATATATATATATGTGTGTACACTTATGTGTGCAGTAAATGCCTTCCACACTGTAAAATGATCAGTAATGTACAGTGCTCATTATCACACAGCCTTAGCCCAGGAGAGAAATCAAGAGTTTGTGGCCTTACTACACAGAGTTGCATCTTTTAACCTTAGATTTTCCACCGGTAAAATGGAAGAAAACAATCCCTCCCTAAGGTTGTTAATAAAATTCAAATAAAGAATACTGCATACAAAATACTAACCACAGTGCCTAATGAAAAAGAAAAGCTCAAAATAACTGTGCCATTATGAAGGTAAAATTATTATTCACAGAATGCCTGATGTCACCTCAGGTGCCATCATGTTTACTCCAACACCAGCATATCAGTAGTACCCCAGCAGGGCCCCAAATTCTCGACTGCGCTACTTTGAACGCAATTTACATTGCCTGAGTTCCAGCCCGTATACTTCAGACATTCTTTACTCCATGGATGTCATTTTTGATCCCTGTTCCGCCTTACCTTACAGTTTCAGACCTTGGAACCCCTTCCTTCTACCCCTCCCCACTCCATCCAGGCCCGTTCCCACTCCTCCCCAGACACTGGCCTAATTCGTCTCCACTTTCCCTGGCTGAAGTTATAGAAAGCTCCTACCCAGATACTCGTAGTCCGGTAGAGCTAGGCGCTCAGAACTCAGCATCCTTAGATCGGGTACTTTTCAAGCTCCAGCTCTCTGGCTTCCGGAACCCAGGTTGCAGCCTGTCTCCGTTGCCATGGCACCCGTGCTGCAGGAGGCGAACTAGAAGGCGGAGGGGGTGTCACGCAAACAGCCTCCGTGGGGCAACGCGGAGCCCACCACACAAGTTCCGGGAGCGGTCGCTTCCCGTCAATCGAGGATTCTTTCAACTCCTATTTTTTGCGACTTGGTTTTAGATTTGTAGTGAACCCTCTAAATATGTCGTATTTCATGATGTCAAGTAATTATTGTCAGCGACTCGTATCTACAATTTCCGAATTTCGTAACTATTGCTCTGTATTGTTTATCACGCACAACAGTTGGATCCCATTACCTATTACTAATCACTTTTAGTATTTTACTATCTTGGTTTACTACAAACTGACTATTATAGTTTGGCTGCTTCTTGGGGTCAGTCAGGGATGTGTCTTTTGGCCTATGACACGGCTGGACACAAAAGGTACTCATTAAGGGCGGGCGAGATGGCTCAGCAGATAAAGGCACTTTACCAGGGAAGCCTGATGGCCTGAGTTCAGTCTGAGGGATTCACAAGGAAAGAGCGAACCAACTCCTGCAAGTTGTCCTCTGACCTCCACACAAGCCCCCAAATAAATGCAATTTTTTAAAAAAAGTGCTCACAAACATACTCAGTAAGTCCTCTGTAGGTTAATTGCCATTTCCTCCAACATTCCTCTCTTACTAGTTGATACTCTGCCCCAGTGGTTTTCCTTTATCTAAGATGCTTCTGGAGGAGAAGAGATCAGAAACTAGGGTATCTAGATTTCCCCTCACTCCATATGCCCAACTGCACATTTCTCCTTAAAGAGGAAAGATTATTTATTGGTTTTCAAATTCTCAGATATTTTTCTTTTTGTTCCTCCCCTCCCCTCAATAGGTAAGAGATCTGTAGCAATTATCCCAGGCCAGGTCTAGCAGTAAAAGCCACTTGGTCATCACTTTTTTTTTAATAAGTTCCCTCCCACTTCAACAAGGAGAAGTTTTGTGTCAAAGAAAAAAAATAAAACTTATGCCATCAAAGAGATGACTGGGGATTGGGTAGACCACCTACACCAGGGGGAAAAGGAAAGAGATGGTTCCTCTCTTATGTTCTGTGTCGCCTATTCTTAGCCTCCTCCAACAAGGAACCTCAAACCTTGTCATTCTCCCTTTCCCTTAAATTTGTGTATGTCTCAATTCTAGGCTCCTGTGAGTCACTCTGAATTTGGATGTGGTAAGGAGAAAGGGACAAGAACCCAAACTAGGAGCAGTATTTAGTGTTCTGAGGTAATGAATTTCCTAAGTCTATACTTGATGTGAATTTGTACAAATTTGATTAAGAATAATTGCCTTTTCCTTCCTCTCCCATACCTCCATGCAGCTTGAGGGTACGGGAATTTCATGATTTTTGTATTTTGGCTTATTACTGTTATCTTAATGAAGTAATAGGATAGCTGTATATATTTTATTTATTATTTATTTATTATTTATTTATTTAATTTGTTTGACAAGGTCTTATGTATCCCAGGCTGGCCTCCAACTCACCATGTAGCCAAAGATGACTTTGAGTTTCTGATCCCCCTGCCTCCAGTTCCATAGTGCTGAGATTACAAGCATTCAGTAGATGCCTGGCTTATTCAGAATTCAGTTTCTTCATGCATACTAGGCAAGCACTCTACTAACTGAGCTACATCCCAGCCCTAGGATAGTAATTATCAAGGATGGCAATTTTATTTTATCTTCAAGCAAACTGAAGCTGTTTGCAGATTTCTTATGTCCTCATGAAAACTATCTAAGACATTTCTCCCTTTTCTAAGTAGGGAAACTGAGGCATAGGTCACAAAAGTGACTTGTGTAGTATCACCCATTCAGTCAGTGGGAGGGCTGGAAGTGGAGCTCAGCTATACCAACATCCAGGCTAGTGGTCTGACCACTAAACCACACAATCCCTTTTTTAGGGATTCTTGGCTTGGTTGTTATTTATTTGTGTTTCCATTTGCTCTGCCCTACTAGCAACTGGGAGCTCCCAGATAAAATAAAAGAATTTTGAGTCCAGGCTGCACACTTGACATCTTCTTATTTGTGGAACATTATCCTGGGTCTTGGAGAGTACTACTACTTGGGTCTGTGTGGTGAAGCTGGGAACCAGACCCAAGAATATAGCTTTGTTTGGGCATTAACCCATTTGCGGTTATAATAATGATAAGTTTCAGCACCAGTGGCGCCTGACTGTTAATGACTCAAAGAAATCTAAATAAGAACAAGATGCCATCTCTGGAGCAATTTGTATGTTTTTCCTACAGTTCCATCCTTTCTATTAAAGTCCTAACAATTCTTATGCTTAAGGACAGTCTTCTACTCTGAATGTTCTAAGCAGTCTGTTGAGATGGAGGACCAGATAGGGTAGGTTATTAGTCTAGAGCTTCGAAAATTAAGGGAGATTCAAAGAAGTAGTATTTGCCTATCTTAGTGATGGCATTACTGACTTTATTAACTTTCTTTGTATTTTTTTCTATGCTCTACAAGTTTTTTTTTGTTTCTTTTTGTTTGTTTGTTTTTTTATATTGAACATCAATTACTACCTGAAAACAATGACAGCTGGGAAGGCCTTCCAGATAGTGTTAGTTTTTCCCAAGAAACCACTACTTTTAGGTTTCTCTTTGGTCACACATTACATAATAATAGACTTTAATAACATCAATTGTGGATGAAAATTTTTCACTGAAACATGCACACGCACATCTTAAGAACAGAGTTGGACATAGTGGTGCACACCTTTAATCCCAGCACTCAGGAGGCAGAGACAGGCATATCTCTGTGAGTCAAGGCCAGCCTATTCTACATAGTGAGTTCCAGGCCAGCTGGGACTACAGGGAGATCCTGTCTCAAAAAGAAAAATCTTTTAGACTGGGCATGGTGGTGCACACCTTTAATAACAGCACTCAGGGAAAGGCAAAAGCAGGTAGATCTTGGGGAGTTTAAGGTGACCCTGGTCTCAGTAACCAGTTTCAGGCCAGTCGGGGCTATATAGTGAGATCCTATCTCAAAAACATATTTTTAAATATTTAACATTAAAAAATATACAAGAGTTCTCAAAAGCAGTGTGTATTTTTGTGATCCTGCTGAATGCTAGTGAAAGAAAAAATAGCTTTCAACTTAAATGGATTTTCAGTCTCCCCATAGCTCCAGCTGGACTGGAACTCATGTAGATCTGCCTGCCTCTGCCTCCTAAGTGCTGGGATTAAAGGCATGTACCACCACTCCCAGCCTATCATAGCTTATTTCTAAAAAAGTTACAAAAATATACTTAGGAAAGTAAGTATAAAATCACTTAGGAAAACCAATCAATCAGAAGATAATTCCACACTCCAGAAAAAAAGCAGGTAATGGGGCTGGAAAGATGATTCAATGGGTAAAAGCCCTTGCTACACAAGCATTGAGAACCTTGGGGCTGGAGAGATGGCCAGAGGTTAAGAGCACTGGCTGCTCTTGCGGTGGACCCAGGTTCAGTTCCGGCACCCACATGGCAGCTAACAACCATCTGTAACTCCAGTCCTAGGGAATTCAGTGCCCTCTTCTGACTCCCATGGGCATTGCACAACATGGGTGCACTTAAATACATGCAGGCAATACACTCATACACATAAAATAAAATAAAAATAATTAAAAGATAAAATAATAATATGAGGACCTTAGTTCAGATTTCCAGCACTTATATAAAAGTAGATGTGACTGGGTGTGCATGTAGTCCAGAACTGGAAGAGAGGAGGACAGAAGAATCACTAAGGTTTGCTGGCTACCAGCCTAGTTCAAAAAATAGAAAATCTACAGGTTCAATGAGAGACTCTGTGTCAAGGAAATAAAGTGAACAGCAATAAAGGAGAAAACCTGATATCTTTTCACCTTCATGTACAAGGCATTTTTACCTGCACACACACATGCATTCCCACATGTGCATATACAGACACCACATGCATACACATACATAAAGAAGTAAGTGATATGAAACTGAGCATACACATAGATGCCACATGTGCATACACACACATAAAGAAGCAAGTGATATGAAATTGAGCAAAAATAGAACAAATTGGAAGGTGCTATATAGGTCACTGGGGGAGAAGTCATCAATGGTATCACCCAGTGGTAAACCCTAAATGCTAAAATACCAAACTGCCAGGAAAGATGTGTCCACTGATGCAATGATGGCATGAATGTTATAGGGGCAACCAACCACTCACTGGTTGAATTTGAGACCTATTCTACAGGCAGGAATTCATACCTGCTGTTGTAACCTGGTCAAAAACCCATGACTTGAGAGGTCATAGACCATGGGGAGACACCTATTCCTGTTAGTCTGCTGAAAGGACATCTCAAACTGCCTTCTAAATATTTATGGTTATACCATTTATGAGTACTGCTCTCACCTTGGCAAGATAAGCTTTGTTCTGCAGTGGGCAGCAGTTAACAAAGTGATTCATAAGTGGTCAAAGTGTTGAAAATAAGTGACTGTTCATATCTCCTTCCCAGGCTCATCAAGGAGTCGAGGGGGGAGTCAGTTACCCCTCCCACTCAATCAGTCGACCTTAGCTGCATGTGGGGGAGGGACTAAGGATATATAAGCCAAGAATGCCAGGAGGCATCTCTCTCACTATTTTCTGTGGCTGTCTGGAAGGATCTATATCTGAGTGTGGGCTTTCCAGTCCAGCCGTAAATGGGGGGCACCCACTCCTCTGTAAGTAAACCCCCACCCTATGCGCTATTAAAAAAAGAAAATGGGGCCAGGCTGGGACTCTGCTCATATGAACCTACAGCAATGGTGTCAACATGCATTGGACCCATGCAAACTCAAACAGACAAAAATCCAGCATAGAACTGGGGAAATGGACAGCAGGCTCCAATCTTAGCTGAAGAAATATTGGCAACTAATTACTGCTGGATGAGGAAGAACTGATCTTCCTAAAGTGACTGACTAGACCTCAGTGGATGGACTTGCACTGGGGAACGTCTGGGGACACTGACTTGACACAGTAGCCTTAACACCCAGTACAGAGTATATGGGTTCCATTGGGGGGGCCTGTGGGAGGGTGCTGGTGGGGACAGGGCTATAAAGATGATTCAGATTGTTT